AGGAGGGGTTAGACGAAAGAGGAGGGGAAGATGGGAATGTCGTCAACACCAAGTCTCGGTACAGGCCCAAATAGTCCCTCGTCGAAATGTCTGAATCCCAATGTCCAGTCTGGATCCAATGTCATCAAGTCTCAAGTCACAACTCTTTCTCTCTCTGTCGTAGTCTGAGAAGTCAGGTGGCGAGATGGTGAGAAGAGATGGTGGACTTAGAAGAGGAAGAAGAAGAACTCTCTCTCTCTCTGTGTCCAGTACTAACCTGTGAAGTTGGCGCCTTGATGCAGGTACCACGAAGATGGAGCTGGAGCGATGGCGCCACAGGTAATTACCACTGGCCTCCGCCAGTATCTCTCCCAACTCTGCGATCTACCACCTACCAGCGCCCAGCGCTGAAGACTACTCCAGCTATGGGCGCCCAGCACCGAAGACTACAGCTAGCGCTAATACTACTGCCTAGCGCTGAAGACTACTGCAGCGCTCCTCCTGAGTGCTGCGGCCGAAATCCTGAAGACTACTCRTCCTACTGACAACTACCTGCCCGTGAAGTGCCTGGGAAGCCCTATGAACTACCCGGGTGGCGAGCAGTCCAGGAGGCTGCTCTTGCCAATGCCGATCGGAGGCAGGGGCTGCCGCTGCAGCTCCTGCTCAAGCTTGTGAGGAACAGGCTATTTCTGGCCTGTTCCGCATCCCTGTTTACGTGCCTGAGTCTTAGGGGCGGTTGAAACAATGAGGGCCTGAAAATGGCCCTCCGTTTCAGGCTGGAAACACTCTGGGTCAGAAATAGGCTGAAACGGAGTAGGGCCTGCAGGCCCTCGTTTTTCAGCTTTCAGGCTGAAACGACCGGGGCCTGTACGCCCTAAGTTTTAGGCTTTCAGGCTGAATGTCCGGGACGGGCCCTGCAGGGCCCGTGTGGCTACGCAGTATGCCACAATTTGGGCCTGTGCCAAAGACTTGGTGTTGACGACATTCCCATCTTCCCCTCCTCTTCGTCTAACCCCCTTCTTATTCGTCTGTGTATGGTTGGGGCTGGCACAGTCTTCCTGTGTGAAGCGCCAGACCCCTTTCACACCATGGAACGATGATGATGATGTATGTTCAGGGCTGCATTGCAATATTGATTGTTCGGATCATTGGTATCTAAGTCTTCGGCTACACTATCTTGTACTTTGTATTGAGAGGTCGGTTCTTGTTCTGGTCTGCACCGTTACAGTATGCAACAGTTTTCCATTGGGTTATCCATTGGGTTATCCAGTGCTACAGCTGCCACCACTGTACACAAAGCTTCCACCCACCCGTCAGTCAATGGTTCCAACAGGACAAGTGACGACTAGAGGGACTCCAAGCTGTTGGACAAATAGGGGGAGAAGGAAGAAAAATATATCACCGACACATGCATAACTATTATTAAGTACGTGTCCTTCGGGATATCCGTTAAAATTGGAACGATACAGAGAAGATTAGCATGGCCCCTGCGCAAGGATGACACGCATAAATCGAGAAATGGTCCAAATTTAAAATAAAATAAAATAAATAATAATAAAAAAGTATTATTAAGTACGTATAGGCAGGCCCAAGATTGTGGCAACAGCTTGTACTAGTGCCTGCTCACTGGCATCAAGCAGGGGTCAGGAGATTGAGGAAAAAGGGGATAAAGATGAGCCTCAGGGCCTAAAGGGGGAAGGGGGCAGAGAAAGAGAGGGAGGAGGAGGGGGGAGGAGGGGGAGAGGAGGGGTGAGGAGGGGATAAAATGAAAGCCTCAAAAATATTCTCTCTCCTCTTGGCACTGCAGATGAGCCTCACTGATCCGTTCTCTCACAACCCCCTCCCATCTTCTGTCAATACCTCCACCACCTACCAAATGTCATCTGCCCCACTTAAACTGTCTTCGTAATGTCCCGTCGTACACCCTTCAACACATACCCTTTCTGCTTCTCACAGTACAAAATCCCTCTGCACATGAGCAGTGAAACCAGAGGTTGGATGTATAGTACTGTAATACTTTCTATTTTATGTTATAGTATTTTAATTTTATTATTTTTTATAATTTTTTACATCTTACTTTATGTCTGTTGAATGGCTGTCATGGATGACTAACTGCCACAGCCGTGCCAACTCACCCAAGGACACACCTCATGCCGATCAAAGCCTAGCAAGCCATCGTCTTCACCCGAATACAACGTACGATCATTATTGCTGTATCTAGACTGCGAGTTGGCCCAAATACAGTTATAATGACTGTACGTTGTATTCGGGCGAAGACGGTAGCGAGCACTCTAAAGACAAAAAAAAACATCACAGTAAAATATTAACTGCCAAATTACTACTACCATACGGGCCGTATCTCTTTTAATTTCCTTTTCTTTTCTTTTCTTTCTTAAAAAGGGCGACGGTCTTGAGGTATCACCATTCTACTGACCGGCCCCAGGCGATTCAGAATTATTTTATTGAAATTTATTCTCGTCAAATCTGATTGTATCTGGATTCGAACTTGGGTCTCTATTTCAACAGTTCATGGGTGTACCACCTGAGCTAGGCCCATTGGTATATTGGCCGTAAGTTATTGTGGTATATTCACTGTACTAAATGTGTATTTGGCATTTAAGCCTCGGTTGGTGGCATGGGCATGCTGGCGGTCAGTCCTTCCTGAAGGAAGCAGGAAATGCCGAGTGAAAGAAGAAACCAGGTGATCACATGACCACATGACCACAATGCTAGGCCCGCAAGCCGACAAAGACGGACATGAAACGACAAACAACAGCACTCAAGATTGACACATAAGTGAGAGGCATCAGAAAAGAAAGAAAGAAAGAAAGAAAAAAAAACTAGTCTTTTTCGTCGATACCTAGCGAATGTTTTTACTCTCCATCGAGTAACAAACAGAAAACAAACGAGCACGCGGAGTGAAACTAGCTTCCCCGACGCCACATTTCGTCCGGTGCCAGAAGCCAGGAATTTGTCTTCTTCGTCAATACCAAGAGACTTTTGACTCTCCATCGAGTAACAAACAGAAAAGAGCTCGCGGAGTGAAACTAGCGTCCCCTACGCCGCATTTCAGCCGGTGCCAGAAGCCGGGAACTTGTCTTCTTCATCAATACCGAGACAACTCTTTTACGCTTCATCGAGTAACAAACAGAAAACAAACGAACGTGCGGAGTGAAACTAGCTTCCCCGATGCCGCATTTCGCCCGGTGCCAGAAGCCGGGAAGTTGTATTCTTTGTCAATACCGAGCGAAATGTTTTTACACTCCATCGCATAACAAACAGAAAACTGAGAAAAGTGCACACAGAGTGAAACTATCATCCCCGATGCCGCATTTCAACCGGTGCAGGAAGCCAATAACTCATCAGGGGGGGATTGATTCCTTGGTGAAAGAGGGGATTGACCACAGCACTTGCGACCGATTACCTGGTCACTTGTTCGCTGCCTTTAGAAAAAACACACAGGGCCCCCAAATTGGCCTCCCCTGCCCCAAGGGTACCCCCCTAAATCAGGCTACCCGAGTAAACGGAAAGCCCTAGATTAACCCCTTGTCAAAACAGGACCGCAAAGGAAAAAAACAATCTCGAAGGTTCTACAAAATCCTGACAGGTCCTGAACGACCTCCCAGTGTTTCCATCCAGAGTCACCCGGGGCTACCCGAGCCACGGAATTTCCATCTCAGGGTAGCCTTGATTCCGCGGCTCACATATAAGCAAAAGCAAACATTCGACCCACCCTTCGACTTGCATTCGTACAATTCCAGATCCTATGTAGAGCCCCATAAATCACCGGCCTCTTTCTGCCGGTGGCACACATACGATCCAAAGCCGCGGAACCTCCGGATTTTGAGTCCATCGTCCTCGGACCAGATCTCATCCAGATTCTTGGCCCTATACCAGCACTTCACCCTTTTCTCTGCGTTTGAGATCTGAGACCCAGCAGTCCAAAAAGCCCCAAGAAGTCCCATTCCCCGGTTCCTTCATCGGTTCTCTCTAGCATCAGATTTTCATCATATGCTTTCAACAACTCGTCAACAATCTTTGGCCTTCACTCTTTTTTCAAACTTGCGGGTCCAAAACGCCCCCCAAATGTCCCATTCAGCCCCCAAAAGTCCCACTCCCTGGTTCCTTCATCGGTTCTTTTTAGCATCGGATTTTCATCATACGCTTCCAACAACTCGTCAACAATCTTCGGCCTTCACTCTTTTTTCAAACCCGCCGGTTCAAAAAGCCCCAAAAGAGTCCCATTCAGCCCCAAAAAGTCCCATTTCGCCCAGGTTCCTTCATCGGTTCTTTTTAGCATCAGATTTTCATCATACCCTTTCAACAACTCGTCAACAATCTTCGGCCTTCAGTCTTTTTCCAGACTTTTCCAGACTTTTCCCAAGCGAACAAAGACGCATCGTCCACTCATGCCATCAGGTTCTCACAAGTGCTCACAATCACTCCTTCCTGGAGGAAGTAATCAAAAAGTGGTCAGGGTTCCCCGGGCCGTAATGCCGGGAACCGTGGAGTGGGGATATTGCTCCCGTCTCCAGGGACGTTGGGCCGGCTTTCCAAAGACAAAAAGAAAAGAAAAAAAGCCAAATACTACCATTGAACCAGTGGTACACAGCCCCAGCCTTGCAGGATTTCTTCATGGCTCACTCCTGAAATTTCGGAGGGTCGGGGCTACGGGACCACAACGGCTGGCAGCGCCAGCCACAAAAAAAAAAAATAAAGTCTATCGCTGACAGTTCGGCAACGCTTAGCTCACAGTGCGGCGCCGCAAGGCCCAGGCTCCACTGGTGGTTTGATGCAATGTTGTTAGGTTTCAGCAGAGCCCTGGGTGTGCGGGCCAGACCGCAAAATCCAGGCAGGCCCTAAGAAAAGGCTGCGACCGAAGACAAATAAAAACTAAAAAATGAAACAGTTGTGTCCTGACTCCAGAGACAGACTGGGCCCCAATGCAGGCCACCCCGGTCGACTCCCAGGTACTCCCTCAGTCAGGACCCAGGCCGTGCAGGTACCTGGGCTGGGATCAAGGCTCATAGGGCCTTACTACCGATAGACCCAGACCTCGGTCTCAGAAGAGACAAAAGCAAGGAGGCAAAGGGGCATATCGATGTTGGGCAGCGGACAGTATAAGGCAGCATCGGCAAGAGAGCGCTAGAAGCCAGCGTCCATGCAACGAATAAGCCAGGAATTGTGGTCACTGCCGGCGAGCCATAGCTGGTAGGCAGTGCTACGCAGGGGAGAAGATGGCCGGTGGGTGGACTGGTCAGGGAGGGAGCGAGTGCTACAGCAGTGGGGACTGGTGGACGCCCACTTACCTGGAGTGTGTGGGGCTAGGGACTGCCGGTGTGATCAGATTCGTCAACGGCATCTGCCGAGAGGAGAGTGGCGAGAGTGTCAGCAGAAGCAGGGTAGTGAGTGGTGCTTGTATAGGACACATCACAGCCAGGGGGCTGCAATTCTATTTTTATATCGAGTGTTGGGACGTTTGACGAAGACTTTCCTTATCAACAGACTTCAGTGTTCAGTGTGTTCTTGGATTGGTGTGGCTCTTGACTTTGTCATTCTGCTTTCAACTTGGATCAGCGCTGCATCAGCGGAAGGAATAAATGAAGAGCAAAGCATGCAAGTAGAAGCGGCTATTTCGACAAGGGATGAAACAGAAAAAGAAAGCTTTTTCAAACCTCAGACCTCGTACTTCGGGCCCGAGGGCAGTCGATCAAAAACCCGAAGAACAGTTCTCAAACTGATTAAATGATAAATATACAGTTTAAATTGCTTAATACACTGCCATACGCGACGCACGGCCCCTCGATTTGCCTTACAGGGCCTATTTTCCACTCAGTCGGCCGCCCTAAGTGAAGGCAGGCACGACCAAGGGCCCCAGGCCATTTTGGGGTCACTACGCAACTGGGGGAAAATCAGGCAGTTGCGCAGCGCCAGTTGGTTGGAAGCGCCCCGGCCCAGGCTGCCTTTCATTGCATGTACCTGATGGAGGCCCTGGGCCGGATACACAAAGTGGACCGAACAAAGGCTGAGGGCAGTTGGGTGCTGGTAACCACCACAGGCCCTGGGTCTGTTTACTTCGGACTGAGGCTCAGCCTCGTGGGGCCTACCGGAAGCTTCTGGGACAGGGCCCGGTACCTCAATACCGCACGCAGCAGCAGGCCACTTTGATATAGGGAAGGGCCTGCCTACACATTGGACATTCGGGCACTGGCTGCTTTGTGCGCAAGCGCTGCTGCACTATCGCCTGCCAGGCTCACGCGCTCACGGGCGAGATGGAAGGAGCAGGCAGCCATAGCCGAGCTGCGCTGCTGTATGCTGGATGGGGCACATGGTGGTCCTTGGGTGCAAGTGGCATCTGTGAGTTGGGGAACGAGGTTGTGAGTGATACGAGAGACATACCTGGTGCTTGAAGCGTGCGGCATTGGCCGAGATCTCCTCGTACTTCGGGGAGCTGTTGACGTCATCAGCGGCATTGTAGAGTAGTCTAGATAGGATCTGCCATCTGTAGTCTGGGCGCCGAGCGCCAGAGAGGATATCAACATTGGTTCTGCGTTGATGATGATGATGAGACTATTTCAGCATTGTCAATTATGAGCGTTTGGTGTGTTCTTATTTGGTGAAATTCGTGATGCAATTCTACTTTTGGTTCGAGGTCATGACTATCTGGTCTCATGTGTATGATGCTGTTTGATTGCTGAAGTTCGCTATTGCTCATCTTCCTTGCACATAGAAATCCTGATTTTTAAATTTTTATCAATGGAAAGAAAAACTTCAAAAAAGCTTAGAAGAAGTGGGTAAAAAAGGAAAAAAGCATGGAAAGGTTGGTGCGGAACGCACACATTGGGAAACTGCAGGGAGCCCCAGAACACAAAGCAGACCAGGGATAGGAGGAGAGTCTACCAATATGCCTCTCTCTCTCTCTCTCTCTCTCTCTCTCTCTCTCTCTCTCTCTCTCTCTCTCTCTCTCTCTCTCTCTCTCTCTCTCTCGCGCGCGCGCGCTACGTACCTGGCGGTAATTCCTGAGAGTATTGGTAGCTTTGAAAATCTCATCCTCCATGCTTAAGTTCAGTGGGCTGTTGATCCATCCGCGCATACTCGACATATCTGTGACGTCATGCAAAGCCACTTGCGCAGCATTGCTCACCCTTTCAACCAACACCCTCTGCACCGGCTCCAGTCGCTCCTTGCAGGTGTCGCACACACGTTGAGGGTTTCTCTCCCTGAACAGCACCGGAAGTAAACACCTCCCCATCGAGCAAAATCTACCATCCAGAGCCACCAATATTCCCGAAATCAGAACAAGAGCAGAGCAGATACAGAAACAGCATGCAAGCGGAGAAACAGGTGAAAAACAAAGAAGAGAAAAGTTGAGCAAACCAAAACAGAGACCCATGAGAACCCCCACCTCGGAAGTCAACCGGCATTTAATTTATCTGTCTGCATTGATTCTGCAATGAACAGACCGTACAGGATTAAATCATTTAAGCCACTGCACAGATGAACCCCCAAGAGTCCCGAGTCCCGACTACGAAGAAACTGCAGGGCATCACCACATGCAGGCCACGGGCATCCCACACAACACTGCAGACGGTCATCCTTTTTTTTTTTTTCCTTGCATTTGTTTTTTTAAGACTTTTTCTTTCTTTTCCTGGTTTGGAAAATTTTGGATCATTTCTCAAATTGCTAGAGTCATCCTTTCACATGGGCCATGCTAATCTTCCGTGAATAGTTAAGCAATTTTAACGAAGGTTTCGAAGGACACAACTGAAAACGGTCTGTTCGTCAAACTCCTTCATTTCCATTCTCGGGGCATACTCACACTAGGACCCTTTTCCACAAAGCTCTGGACGTGATTGCAGTCAGATTCATCCAGGTCTGGCCGTCATTTCAGTCATGCATTTTCTGGAAAGTATCCGTGTGCGTATGCCCTCAGTATCATCTTTTCCACACATTGAATCGTCTTTTTTCCACACCTTGTTTTGACTTGTTTTTTTTCTGACTTGTTTTTTTCAGAGGCTTGCAAAGGGCACTCTGATCACTTAACAAACCAGCGTTGGCCACCCTCCAGCGGCGGGCAGCTGCAGCGGCATTCCTGTGGAGAGGGAACCACGAGTGTCCTAACGCCATCAGTAGGGAGGCGTGGCAAGCAAAGTCCTGGAGGAGAGGGATTGGGTGGGCATAAAGTGACAGGAGGGGGAGGGGGGAAGTATAATGGGCCTATTTCAGGCACGGGAAGGAGGGGGGGGAGGTGCTGATCAACCTGTTGCACAAAGGCCCGGACGACAGGCTGACAAGGACGGAAGGGGATAAGCTTTGCTGGCACAAAACAAACACACCTGTTCTGCATCGGAGTCCTAAAAGAAGGGGACCGATGGCTGGCATACAAACCAACGACACCAATCTCACATCTTGGTTTCGACCCGGAAAACTGGACCTGGACCCTGCCCTTGGGTAGGGGAAAGAAGGGCCGGAGGCAACTGCATACACTGTCGGTCAAGTCGGCTTATCGACTGCTGCGCCCCCAAAATAAACCTGAGGGACGCAGTGGAGAGCAGGTGGATGCAGCACCTGAACGTGAGGAAGGAGGCCCCCCACTCAGTTAAGTTGTTTAGACTGAGCAAGGCTTCTCCAGCGAAAGTGGCATCACTGCAAGGGCAAGTAGAGCACTGCTGCCTACCTACAAACGACTGGCTGATAGATAGGACGACCCTGGAGCAGCGAGGGCTTGCCCTGCCATGGTGCAAGCTCTGCTCTCAGCTGCCTGATGTCGGCCAGAGACAATCGAACACATCTTCTTACAATGCCCAGGATCGGTATGGCTATGGAGGTGGTGGGACAGGGTGTGGAGCCAGATGGGCACCACGGAACCTTGGCTGTGGGACTGGAAGACACTGCTGTGAGAAGCATGGGCACCAGGAGCAAACCACCACCTTTGAGGACAATATGTTCAAATTGGGGAGGCTGGCGATGCTCTAGGCTCTATGGAGGAGAGGCGCTGTGTTTTGAGATGTGGAGGGAGTGCGACTAGATGGACCAATCCTGGTGGAGAAAATTAGGCTGCAAGTGCAAGCCGGAATCACTATTCAATGGGAGAGGGTGAACTTTGTGAAAGAAAAACTTACATCCCTACAGGTCAAAGCAGAAATCAAAAAATTTATCCAACAATTCGGCAATGACTGGCTGGGGGGGGGGGGGGGGGGGGGGGGGGGGGGGGGGGAGGGAGTCCCATTGCAGAAGTTTTATGGGAGGGAGGCGAGGGAAGGGAGGAGGAGGGGGAAATTGTGGGGCATGTGGACAGAAACTATCACCTCATCTTCCAGGATTGGACCAAAGTGGACCCGGGTGTGCCGTTGCGTGCTGCATCGGACTTTCCAGACCGTTTCCCACTACAGGCTCTAGCCATGGTGGGCGAGCAGTGGTACGGGGGAGGGAACTCCTAGGCAGGATCAGATGCTCAGCATAAATGGCTGTTGGGTCAATCATCAAGGGAAGGAATTCCTGTCCAAATGTATGGTCTTCAGCTGGCTCACAGTTAAAAATCCAGCGTCGCAGAAGGGTCTGCTCAGTCAATCCCCTGGCTCCCAGGGAAATCAATGCTGGCAGGCGAGCATACAAACTTACGTGGTTGCAGACATTTATCCCAGATACTTTGGTTCTCTATGTCAAGAGACGCTGGACCTGTTTTCCAGCAGGTGATGCCCCCAACCAATAGACGGGGGCCCTTCCCTGCAAACAAAAAAAAAAAAAAAGATTTAGGCCGTAGGACGATTGCAAGAGATTTGCTGTTATTGGCGGCAGTACGCAGGCGGTCAAGACCTTTTCTTTCCCCTTTTTTCTTTCATATTGGCACTCCCCGTGGGACCTGAATCAAGACTTGATAACCCTGGGGCAATGAAACATGAAAAAAAGAAAAAAGAAAAAAGACCGATAACAATGTTGCATGCACGCTCGAGGGGCATCTCATCGTCATACGCCACAAATGAAGAGGGGCATCAAAGCAAAAGTCCAGGCAGTGAGTGTTCTGGTTAGTAATAGCTTAGTATTACTTAGCTACCACCGTCCCTCAGATAGATCGCACAGTCATTAGAGCTGTATTTGGGGCAACTTTCAGTCTAAAGACAGCAAAAATCACTGTGCATCCTATTTGGGTGAAGGCGGGAGAGGTTGGTGGCCATAGCTGGGTAGGTATCCTCCATACTGAGAGCTTGAAGAAGGTAGCCTGAAGACCTGTGATCAGGGAGGTGGGAGAGGTCTGAGGTTCAGAAAGACCCCAAATGAAGAGGGGCATCAAAGCAAGACCCCACAAGAAGAGAGGGGCATCAAAGGAAGACCCCACAAGAAGAGAGGGACAGCACAGCAAGACATGAAGAAGAGAGGCATCATAGCAAGCCCAGCAAAGGTTCTCTCAGCTGCCTGCTAAAGCAGACTTCATTCAGACTGTCAAGGCAAGCTACAGCAGAGAGTGGGAGAAAGGTCTGCGACTTTCTGCGCGTGCAGCTGCACACACTATTATTGTTGCAGGGAGGCTTCGTACCAGTACATGGAAGATACAAGACCATGCAGGAGCAGACGTGTGCGAGGGTGGAGTGACTGTGAGATTATGGGATTGAACTGTTCATCCCTACTGGATCGATATCTGTTGCAATGCTGTAAGAAGCAACATTCCTCCTCCTCCTCCTCCTCCTCCTTTCTTTCTCCCTTTCACTTGTTCTCCGCCTGTCTCTCCACCTCCCTGTGCGAGTATATCTGTCTGTCTGTCTGTCTGTTTCACCTTCCAGCACCGGGCAGGTGTCAGACCTCTCTCTCTCTCTCTCTCTCTCTCTCTCTCTCTCTCTCTCTCTCTCTCTCTCTCTCTCTCTCTCTCTCTCTCTCTCTCTCTCWCWCACACACACACACACACACACACACACACACWSTCTCTAAAACTRCACAGRGATATRCAGAAMGCTTCCTYGCTTGCCTAGTGGCAGAAGGCTGCACTTCTCACTCCTTACTAATCTCTTGTTCATGCGCGCCATTTGCAGTAGTTTTGTTCATCTTTTCATCGAAGCAAGACCTGAGCAGTCGTCCTCTTCTGCATCATCAATCCAATTCCAGGTTAGCCCAGTATTATGATTAGGTAGCAACCAGAGTACTTAACCCACGTCTCCAAGACTTCGGAAAAAATTACAACAACAACCTAATTCGGTCCGAAACCCCCAGAGGACCAAAATACAATAATAGTCAATTTTGAGAGTGATTTACCTACCTCTAACACAGGCAACTAATGCTGGCAGGATTACACAGTGTAGTTCAGCTTTTCAATGTACAGTGGGACGCTGGACCTGCTTTCCAGCAGGTGCTGCTCCCCACCAATAGACTGGAGGAGCAACCAGGTGGCCTGCTAGGAGGGGGTGCTCTTACCACCTCTCCTCGCGTGGTGACGTGGTTGGAAAAAAAAAAAAAGAGAGAGGATTTACCTACCTCTCTTTTCTCTGTTTTTCTTTACAAAAGGCGGCTTTTCAATTTTGTATTAAGAAGCTGGAAACGGGTCCCGTGTCCCCTTACATCAAATGTACTCGCTCGACTCATCCCCCCAGTATGGTCGAGAGATCCTGAGACAGCGACATGAACTGATTTACGTTTACGTACCTGCAGAAGAGACCCCCGCAAAAACGACAGTGATGTCGAAAACACACGACTGGTCGGAACGGCGAGCCGCATTGCATACAGGCAGACGCCCCGCTATCCGGTACCCATTGCGGCGGCATTGCTTCCAGAACCGCCTTGACCATCTGGATGTCACACGCCATTCCTGTTGCCATGCTGAGCGGCGGGGCGCTCGGAACATGCGACGCACCGCCACCAAACGCACCGAAAGCGGGCGTCCTCGCCATAACTTCCCCTCCAGAGGGCTGTTTTTCTTCTTCGCCCCCCGTCATCAACAATAACAGGCTATTCAAAAAGCCCCACGCGTTAACCTCCGGTTCACCGTTCTTCGATCCTCGGCAATTTGTCCGATCGATCCCGACATAACCCCTGTCTTCGTCTTCTTCTCCCTCCTCCCAACCCGCAACCCAATCGCCCGTCTGTCTCCCGCTCCCCTGGTCTCCCATATAAGCTCGAGCCGATCCGCCAGGTTGACATCCTCTACCAATCATTGCACCCACTGTCGCCTGTGCCTGCGTTGCCGCGGCCGATTGTCTTTCTGCTTCTACAACCGCCAATCGCTCTCTTTCCAGCGCTTGCGCCACAGCTTCTGCCTGCCTCTCCGCCTCTGCGGTCGCCTGCTGAGCCCTTTCCAATGCATCTCTCAAGTCCCTGTTCAGACCAAAGCAGGTGTTCGAATCGAACGGTTCCCGACAGATCGGACAAACTGGTTTTCCGTTCGTCGCATGGCGTGCTTGCATCTGCTCCGCAACATTCAGCCAAAACCAGAATTATGCAAGAATCCAAACCATGAGATCTACAACAAACACCAGGTCAGAAAACGGAAAATCTGTCGATGGTTCAAACTTCAAAGCTTTCAAGTTCATCAAATGTAAATGGGTTTTATCTTTTAAGGACCACACCACACCTGTTACCTGTACCCAAAAAAAGAAGCAATAGCAGCATAGTCGAGACGTTTGGATGACATGTGGACGATGTTTGAAGAGGACGTCTCGACTATGCTACTATAGCTTCTGCGGAAGTTCTGCCTATGTCAGATCACAGTGCTGAATGCATCAAGAACACAGGCGGAAGCAATCGCATAGTCGAGACGTCATTCCAACATCGTCGAAATGTTATCCAAACATTATCCAAATGTTACCCAAACGTTAACTTTGACAAACGTGAACCCAAATGTTATCCAAATATCGACGGAGCTAGTGAAAGCTGTTGAAACACAGACCCAAGTTCTAATCAAGATGAAGCCAGGTAAAGGCCCCGGTAATGGATTTATGGGAGGGAGTAAAAAAGCCTCTCCAAGCCCTATCAATACTATCAAAACATTAACCTAATGTTACCCAAACATTATCCAAACATTACCCAAATGTTATCCAAATATCCGCTGGCCTAGCTCAGTTGGTATATAACCATGAACTTGTTGAAATACAGATCCAAGTTCGAATCCGGATGCAATCCGGATGCAATCGGATGAATGAATAAAATTCAATGGAGTTCAATAAACTACTGAAAAAACAAAGAAAACGTTATCCAAACATTACCCATTATTTCGAAGACATTATCCAAACATTATCCTAACTTTGGGACACAGATTTTCCCAAAGCACTATCCACACTCAGAAACATAGAACAGCCCCACACGAGTGCAAAATAGGCTTGCCCTACTGGAGCTGAATTTGAAGTTTGAACCCCTCTATAGCACGAGACGGGTGATCTTACATAAAATTGCATCCAGTGAGTTCGGTCCATAAACACCACAGAGACAGAGAAGACAAGAGTAAGAGTGTGTCAAATACTCCAATCCGACCTGCGCAGACAGTTTTTAAACCACCAGTACCTCCGCCATATATCAGCCACGGGCCCCTCACTGCGACTTCCGGAGGCCCGCACCCCGACAAAGGCTGTCGATGAAATTTATCAACGGCCGTGGGTCCCCGAAGTTGCGGCGCGTTAATGCCAACGCCTCCCGCCCGATATATATGCCGGAGGGTACCGGGTGGTTTAGGTTGTTCAACACTTCAACACCGTCCAATCAATAAACACCACAAAAAAAAAAAAAAAGACAGGAAACTGAGGAAAGACAAGAGTGTGACAAACAACTCCCGCAGTCGGGCTGCAAGAAATGTCAACCCAAGAGTCCAAGACTTGACCCAAGAGTGGACTCTTGGGTTGGGTTACTATTTTGCAGCCTGAAACTACAGACCCAAAGCTGCAATTTCCTGCAAAATGTTAACCCAAGAGTCGCAGACTTGACCACATGTGCGAAAGAAACTTGAAAAACGTCAATTGCCCAGGTGCAAAAAAAGATTACTAAGTTATACTAACCTTATTGGGCCTCGGTCCGCTACGCAGCATGCTCTATGTGTACCTTGACAGCATTTGGACCACATACGTTCGGACCGATCCAACATTTCTACTGCATTGGGAGAATTTCCGGATCCAGGTACATTTAGAATGATGTTGTGCAGTGGAGTGAGGCCCATTGATTGACTACACCTGCAATTTACTTTTTATTTCTTCTTTTTGTTTTGTTTTGTTTTGTTGATACTGACAGAATCCAAAGAGTAGTGTTCACACTTTAAAATTCAAAATCCAAAAACCCAATTTCAAACTTTGAACCCTACCGTAGTTTGATTTCCAAGCTCTGCTAAGGATGGGGCCTCTATCAGGCTAAAGAGGGTCCACTCCGAGCTTCGCTATCCGTTTTTCAACACGACTGACAAACTCGTAATGAAAATATTATTAATCAATTTAATCAATGATATAATTGGAAGGGTTGCAGAGGGCGTTGGACAGCACGGACGCAACGCTGGTTTCCATTTAAACCACGAGTAGGTTTCCCCACTTTTTTGTTCCAGTGCGGCGGTCAAGACCGGATGAGAGACAGGAGGGAGAGAGAGAGAGAGAGAGGTAATGTATGGGAGAAACGTTGCATGCAGAAGGACCATACGCTTTTCGCGCCGTCGATGAGACTGGTGATAGAAGCTATAATCAGTACTGGGCGTCAACAGCCATAGCCGAATAGCAGTCACAGCCACTGGAAGCCATAGCCGAATAGCAGTCACAGCCACTGGCAGCCATAGCCGCCATAGCCACTGACATCCATAGCCAACACCAGCCATAGCCAAACGGCTTAGGTGAGCGGCGGCCCTAGCGTTTTTGGGTGGTGGATCGCACCAGCAGCCATACCCACTATAGCCAGATGGCAGGCACAGCCACTGGCAGCCATAGACAAATAGTAGCCATTACCAACAACAACAATAGCCAAATGGCAGCCATAGCCACTGCTACGAGAGAGAAGACCAAATGGAGTTATGGAAGGATTGTCGCTTCGAGCCAAATGGCAGAAGGAAGAAGTCGAGTGCAAGCGCAGCTCAGGATTTGGTTTTGAGTTTGTTTGGTCTGAAAGAGTCTGAAAGACTCTGAGAATCTGAGCATATTTTTGGCCACAGGATAATCTGTGGCAAGCGCACTCTTTTTTTTAAGATTATATTACAAGCTACAAACAAATATAAAAACGAAAAAAAAAAAAAAAAAAAAGGCTTTTGAAATTGGTGTAAGACTGAGCCTATTTTTGGCCACTGAATGATCCGGCAAGCGCACTTCTGTTTTTCAGGATTACAATTAATACACGTTTAAGCAAAAAAAAATTGGGAAGCGCACTTTTTTTTTTTCAGGATCACAATTACATTGAATTCATACACGTTACAAGCAAAATATGCAATCAGCCTCGTCTTTCCACACTTTCAGCATGCGTACAAACAGATGACGATCAAACTGGCGACTAGCGCCCACACAAAGCTCAGAGATAATGAAGCCAAGAACACAACTCAGATTCGAACTTGTCCTGGCCAGCTATGGCCGACACTTGCACTCTCAGCAACTTGTTCGTACACACACACTGGATCTCCCTGGATGTGTCCCAACACACACACACACACACACACACACACACACACACACACACACACACACAC